TCTTGTTCTTAGATTTGTGAATTTTGACAGTTCCAGCTCTTTGAATCTCTCTCACTCCTGCTCTGTATTTTTATTCCTTTTCCCTCTTCTACTGGTCAGGCTCAGGCATACTGTACAGAGGTCAATGTCAGGAGCCCTGTGCAGCCCAACTTCCCCAGTGTAATTTCAGAGGAAATGCATTCAATGTTTTCTGCTGATCATGATGTTTTGTAAAATGTTCTTGCTTAATACCATTTTCTTCCCAAATTATTTTTTGTCATGATTTTTAATTATCCAACAATTCTTGCAAGAATCTACTACTGTGATCAATTTTTTTTAATCTTAATATGTTAAATTACTGTATAACACTAATAACTTTTCTAGTCTTCAATCATTGTTTTATTAGTGGAATAAATGGATAAACTGGCTTTTGTTAATGCCTACAAATATAAATTTAAGTGGATATTTTATATTTGTATTTTTGAATATAGTCATTTTATTGATATAGGGTATTCCATATCTTTATATGTGTACTATTTTTTATTAGGCTAATATAGAATAATGTTGACAAACTATATGCCATTGATACATTTTTATTTTCCCAAAGATGCTGAAATACACATGAATAAAAATGATAATGAAAAAAATCCTCCAAAATTGTCATTGAGGAAAACTTCCCTCCAGAAGTCAGGATATGCCCTTGGGTATCTTTGAATTTTCTCATTTGCCTCCTGGGAGCCCCTACATTGCTTGGCTGAGATCAAAACCCTATTGACTCAGAAATGAAAAGATTCATAATGTGCCATAAGGAGTTGAAACTTGCCCTTTCTTCAGGTGATCTGCCCAATTCATGAGACATCAGCAGTTGTCCCAGAGCCTAAGTATTTATAAAGCCCTATGGAAATGTTTAAATATCCAGTTCCATTTTCTACTTGTGCTTTTGATTCAGTAGTGCTTGGAAGAGAGCTAGGTATCTGCATGTTATATTGTTCCATATGAATTCCAAAAATAGCAGTGGATGTATTTGTGAAATATTTTTCTAGACCCATCTGTAATGTCATCCTCAGCTGAACGAAGGGCTGGGATTTTGGAAAAGCCACAGAACATCATGTTCATTTCTCATAAGCAGGCATTTCTGTTTTTGATGTGAATATTATGTCCAATTTGGAGCAAGAGAATGAGCCCTGGTCTGTGGAGAGTGAAGTGAAAATAGCAAAAACCCAAACGGGTGGGAATGTACCAAAGGTATGAACACAGCTAAGAGCTCAGAAAGGGAGAGAGGAAGCTACAGCATTAACAGTGTTTGGAGAACTCTCCCCAAGTGGGAGCATGCTTTGGAAAAACAGTAGTTTAGTTTTTGTGAACACTCAAAGGAAATTTTTCTTCCTCCCAACTTATTGCTCTGCCCCTCAACATGTAAAATTTGTCCTTTCACCCTCCGGTGGTGCTGTATCTCCAACAGAGATGAAGGCAAAGTCTTTATCACTACAGCACTGTTATCCGGCTCCTGCGAACTGTTTCCTTGACTTTCAGGAACACGGGGTGGGCCGTTTCAGAGAGGTGACTTGCCCACCTTGTTCTCTCCTTTTGTACTTGATCCCATCAGGTGCTCACTCCTCAGTACATGTAGATCACAGCTGCGGCCTCCATAGTCCTAATTGCTGGACCTATCCCAGTCCCATCCCCATTTCCTGACCTGGGAAGATCTAATCAGAGGATGGGATAACCCTGGCTTCTCTTCTCTTCCATCTGGGGCCCCAGAAACAACATGGAGCACTCAAGCCCTGTCTGCCTATGCAGGTCCCTCAGCCATTTTTGCTCCTTTGCTTTTGCCACACACTTCAGGGTTGTATGTAATGGGGAGGTGGGTTGGATAGTCTCTGATTGTTACTTGGGAAACCTGTGAAGACAGTGGAGAGATGCTCTCTTTGATCCTCAGTTCTACATGTAGACCATTTATCAAACTTTCAGGCTCTTAGTTTGGTGTCTGTGGGTAGAGTGCAGGTCCCATGGATTCCATGATATCTGGGCCCCATATCTTGTATTTCTCTCTCTCTTGCACCACTCTACCTAGTCTGGGAGTGTAGGGTCTTCTGGATTTCATGTTCTTATTTGCATCATTTTGCCTCTGAAACTTGCTTTTGAAATACACATTCTTAGGGTCTGAAATTTTTCTTTTCTTTTTTTTTTTTTTTTTTACTGTAATAATCCAGCTTTAGGTGATGGACAGCTTCTGGTGGACTCTCCCATGGGCTGGTTTTCTTGGTAAGACAATTCTTGATGGAGAATACTTTCACTAATATGTTGCAATATTGTCCTACTACATACAGAAGCACCACTTGAAGCTAGGCAGGGGAGTGGTATATCGCAGCACAGTGAGACAGAAGTATCATGAGAGCCTAAGTGATGTGTTTCCAGTTGTCTTTCTGGTTTTGAGTGTCACAAAGCATCTCTCAAGGGCACTGTGACAGTGTTGATCATAGATCATCCCCTTTGAGTGACAATAAATAGTATACAAATTTCTCCTGGGAAGACATCGTCCAAGTTCACATCCTCATTTCTCTGAGGCTGTCAACTAAACCATTATTCTTGCCACATTTTCCATCCCATGAGTGCCACTGTTCATCCTACCTCAACAAGTACAACTTGGAGGCATCTTATTGACGGAGCTTATGAAGTTGAATGATGCCTTCAATGAAGTCTACTGTAAATTCCCATAAGCTCCCTCAATTTACTACTATAAATACTGTAATTTACTACTGTAAATTCCTTTAAGCCATTATTTTCATCTTATATATTTCTTTGCATTATAAAGGAAGTTTTCACTTAGTCATCAATTCCACTATTTTTGATGATGCTATTAGTGTTGTTTTACATTTCCAAAGTATGAGAGAGTTGAATTGGGGAAGGGATATTGTTTCACATATTTTACATTATTTCCTTCTCTAGTGTTGACAATATGGCTCAGTAGCAGTTTCCCTAAATGCTACATGAAATCCAGAATATGTAGAAAAGTGTTTTAATCATTCCTTCTACATCTTTTCACCTTAGTACCTAATATTAAGTTACACTTTCGTCAAGTTTATTACAGTATTTAAATTGGAAATTTTCATATCTGGAGAATATATATATTTTTGTTAGTCATAATCCCAGGAATACCATTAAATTGGCTGCCATAATGTTACATAAGATTCATTGCTCTTTATATAGTATGTTTTCAGTTTTCTATACATAATTTCTTGAGTTTTGTGTAAATTTCACTGAGTTTTTACTTCTTGGTATATCTGCCATATTCTAATCATCACTCTCCCTGTCTAGATTAATCATGTCCATGTTGGTACACTGAATTAACACTTTTAAATATTTCATATTTTACAGGAAACTTAGCCCATTTCTTGCTAAGTTTCTTCTATATGGACTTCTCCACTGTTGTTTCTAACACCTGTATTTTCTGCTGAATTTCTAAAGTTCTGAAAATTGTGCTCTTGAGTGAACACATGACAACTGTCTTGTTCCCTGGTTTCCTCTCCATCTGAACGTCATACAGAATGCAGCTGGTCCCCTTTGTCCCACTTGCTGGTGGTGTCCTGTTCTCTGGCTCTTATTTGCTGTGTATGTTGCTCACGACCTCTCTGCACATCAACTTCCTCCATGGGCCTCCACCCCACTGCCAGGAAATGTTTCAGCCTGTAACTGCTGATACTTAGAGCATCCTGTAATACAATCCTTCCCCACTGTGGGTCATTTACTTACTTTCTCCAAAAAGATACTTATGTTCTTCTGATGATACTGTCTAATTTATTAAATTTGCAAAAGTGCACATTTTCATTGATTCATAGTAACTATGTATCTATTAACAGATACAGTAGGAGCACCCCTGACTTCATGTCTTTCTTGTGTCAAATAACTTTCATAATATTTTACATCATTTGAGCTTAGCAGAGTTAACATATACATTTTCTTGTTTGATATATAGAGTCAATTGATTAGCATGAATACTTAAACTCACTTGTTTTCTCCCTATTTTCCTGTTTCCCCAGACCCTGGCAAACACCATTCTACTATTTCTATGAATTTGACTATTTTAGGTACCTCACGTAAATGGAATCATAGAGTATTTGTCTTTTTTGTGACTGGCTTTTTCTACCTAGTACAATGTCCTCAACCTTCCATGTTGCAGTAAATGACAGGATTTATCACTTTTTTAAGGCTGAATAATATTCTATTGTATGTACATACCACATTTCATTTATGCATTCATCAGTCAGTAGATATTTAGGTTGTCCCTACCTCTTAGCCTTTGTGAATAATGCTTTTGTGAACAGAGGTGTGCAAATATCTCTTTAAGATCCTGCTTTCATTTTTTTTTTTTAATGTAGACAGGCATGCTTTGTTACATTGTGCTTTGCAGTTTTTTTTTTGTTTTTTTTTTTTTACAAGACTCACCACCAGCTAAAAGAGAGTGACTTGTGAAGGCTCAGATGATGGTCCGTAATTTTTGGCAATAAAGCCTTTTATTTATTTTTTTGCTGAGGAAGATTCAGCCTAAACTAGCATCTGTTGCCAATCTTCCTCTTTTTGCTTGAGCAAGATTCGCCCTGAGCTAACATCTGTGCCAATCTTCCTCTATTTTATGTGAGATGCTGCCACAGTGTGGCCACCACGGAGTGGTATAGGTCTGAACCTGGGCAGCTGAAGTGGAGCACGCCAATCTTATGCCTCCCTATCTATTTATGTGTAGGGAGGCAGGTTTTAGCAGGGGTGAGTCTAAAATGCACTGCGATGGTATTTTCATTATAGCCACAAAAATAATCTGAACTACACTATGGAGCTAACTCATATGCAAATTATGAATACATATTTCCAAAACCTTAAGTTGTATGAATCTAACAGGGAAAGAAATTATTATAGATGCCATTCAACCTAAAGAGCCTAATGAGGCATCATTAGTGTTCCTTATGAAGCACCCCAATGAAGTGGAAGACGCTTGGGTTAACAGAAGGTACATGACTCATTCAGGGTTACAAAAAAAATTACACTTTACTTATTTAGATATGAAAGTATAATACATAATAAACAAAGGGACATGAAAATGCAATTCCAGTGCCAAACTTGAATCCTTTACAAGCACACTCTTCCCTGGTTCTTATGATTAAACTGTGCTATTGTCTGTTCAGTTACCAAAAATAAGACAATTTTCATTAATCTACACCTATTACATTTCAAAAGAGAGGGAGACTATCATTTCCCCTCCATTTTTTTTTTTAAACCACATATGCCATCCCTAGTAACCCATCATTCTCTTCACATGAAAATGTCATCTTCTCAATGCCTTGGCCTACTCGGTTTTGTGATCATCTAGCAGAGCAAGCCTTCCTATACTCATCAAAGAAGGCCCACAGTCACACCAACAAACCTAGAGAAGGGGCTGAGGCCACAGCTAGCATGATAATTTAGATAACAGCTTTACATCTGTTCTCTGCCACTCCCCATGGTCTCAGATTTATACCATATTACAACTTAACACTAGTGTCAAAGTTTTCCCAGGTTCCATGGATATGAAGAAACTCAACCTAATGAAGTATATCCTTTCATACTGCCAATCCCTTCCCTGAGACCATCCTGGTGACAAATGAAAAGGATATAATGAAAGTATAACATCAACAGGTTTGAAATGAGGTTGTAACTCATCAATAATAATGTAGTCTCTTCAAGAAACCTCAAACAATAAAAACATTTTTAAAACTAAAGTTAGACCTTTCCATAGATGTGCCTGTCCCATGGACAATCATCTCATGAGTCACAAATAATTTTAACATTTTAATTCTCTGTGGAATTTAACATCTGAGATTGGTTAATCTTCAAAACTAACAGACTTAGTTCCCTCTAGTATGAATATTCTTATGTGCAGTCCACTGAAATGGTTAAACAATTTATCAGCTTCCTTATATTTGTAATATTTCTGTCCTTGGTGTATGAATTCCTTGGTCTATCATGTGGTCACTGCTTAAAGGGCCTTTAAATATTTGTATGGTTTCCATCTTTTACAAATTCTTGCATGACCACAACATTGTACATTTTTGATAAAGCTGATCACACTCATTACATTTCTAAGTGTTCTCTAGTAAGAATTCTGTTATGTTCCACAAGCCTTAAACTTTGTATAAGCCTTGCCATACATTACATTTGTGTGGTTTCTCTCAGAGATGTATATTCTGATATCAAGTGAGATATGAGACCTGGTTACCAGCTTTGCCACATACATTACTATTATATGGTTTCCCTCCATGACTGAGTCTCTGATGTTGAGTAAGGTTTGAACACTTGCATAAGTTTTGTCTCAGTCATTATATTTGTAAGGTTTTTTTCTGCCATGAATTTTCTGATGATCCCCAAAGCTTGAGCTTTGAATAAAAACACTGCCTCTTATATTAAGTTTATAATGTTTCTTTCCAGTATATGTTTTCTGATGCCTAGTAAGGCTTGAAAATTGGGCAAAAGCTCTGCCACACTCATTACATTTGTAAGGTTTCTCTCCAGTATGGATTTTCTGATGTCGAGTAAGATAAGAACCCTCACAAAAGGCTTTGCCACACACATTACATTTGTAAGGTTTCTCCCCAGTGTGGATTTTCTGATGTCTTCTAAGGTTTGCAGGGCAGGTAAAAGATCTGTCACACTGATTACATTCATAAGGCCTCTCTCTAGGATGGATTTCTTGATGTTCTCTAAGGTTTGCAAACTGGGTCACAGATTTTACACATTTGTTTTTGCAAGGTTCCTCACAAGTATGAATTCTCTGATGAATTGCAAGATTTGACTTATGACTGAACACCTTGCCACATTCATTACATTTGTAAGGTTTCTCACCAGTATGAATTCTCTGATGAACTGTAAGGTTTGACTTATGACTAAAGACCTTTGCACATTCATTACATTTGTAAGGTTTCTCTCCAGTATGAATTTTCTTATGTCGAGTAAGATATAAACGCTCTCTAAAGGACTTGCCACACACATTACATTTGTAAGGTTTCTCTCCAGTATGGATTTTCTGATGTCGAGTAAGATATGAACTCTCCGTAAATGCTTTGCTACACTCATTACATTTGTATGGTTTCCCTCCAGTATGGATTCTCTTATGCCAAGTAAGGCTTGAATGCCCAGCAAAGGCTTTACCACATTCATCACATTTGTAAGGTTTTTCACCAGTATGAATTCTCTGATGAATTGCAAGGTCTGACTTTTGACTAAAGACCTTACTACATTCATTACATTTGTAAGGTTTCTCTCCAGTATGGATTTTCTTATGACGAGTAAGATATGAACCTGCTATAAAGGTTTTGCCACACTCATTGCATTTGTAAGGTTTCTCTCCAGTATGGATTTTCTGATGTCTTCTAAGGCTTAGAAATCTGGTAAAAGATTTGTCACACTGATTACATTCATAAGGTTTGTCTCCAGTATGGATTCTCTTATGTTGAGCAAGGCTTGAACGTTCAGCAAAGGCTCTGCCACATTGATTACATTTGTAAGGTTTCTCGCCAGTATCCATTCTCTGATGAATTGCAAGGTTCAAATTTTGACGACAGATTTTACCACCTACATCACATTTATATGGTTTTTCTCCTGTATGGAGTCTCTGATGTCTCTTAAGTTTCAAGCACTGATTAAAAGCTTTGCCACACTCATTACCCTTGAATGGTCTCTGTCCAGAATGAACTGTCTCATGATTCATGAGGTTTAAGTGTTTGCTAAAAGTCTTCCCACTTTGATTATATTTGCAAGATTCTCTTCTAATGTGTTTTGTCCTGTACTGTGCAGGTAACAAAGGATATTTAAAAAACTTTCTATATGTATTACAAATGTTTTTGACACTAGGAGGAACGCTTTGAAATGGTGAAACTGAGGAACCATTGTTGACAGACTTCTTGACTTGACAGCATTTATAAATTTTCTCTTCAGTTTGAAATCTCTGCAGTTCAGCCACTTGTGTCTGCCCACTTAATCCAGTTCTGTTTTCCAAACACTTTCTATACTTGTTTCCAGCATCGCTTATGTTATTTTTCAGTTTTAACAAATTCTTTGTAAATGGCTCATCATGCATGAAATACTGGTATGCATCATTTTTTATAGAAACACTCTGCTTTTGTAGAAAGTTAACTGAGGATTTATTATGTTCCCAATCTATTCTACAAATGAAATTTTTGTTATGAGTCAAAGGCACTCCTTTGTAATTTCTCCCATCATATCCCCATTCATTCTGATGCTCATGAATATTTTCCCAGACTTCCTTGAGGTCAAAATTGTTGATGTCATGCCTGTCATTGCTTTCTGATATCATTAAATGGTATAATTCTCTTTTCTCAATGTCCTCTCTTGGTGATAATTCCTTTATTGAAAATCCAGCAGAAAGCCTTCCTATGAAGTAGAGTGGGAAGAGAAATATTTTAGACTGAATTAGATCATTGTACAAAAATAAATATAGTTATGAAATTTCTGAAGCATTCTCTTCAAACACCATTGTGATATACAGATTACTTAAATTTTTTTATAATTTTTTCTATATTTTCTCTGACCTTTGATAATAAATTTTCAAAGCACACATTATACACTATACCTATTGTATGGTGATATAACCAGGTAAATAAATGATACTCCATAGTTAGGGAGTCCTCTCTAATTCTTAATCCTTATAATAAGGTGTGTTGGTAGGATGCAAGAAAAAGATACTGAAAAAAACTGCATATCACAATAATAAATAAAACATTTTCGTAACCCATGATAAATATAGCCCATAAGATAATGAGTAATCAGTCATACAAATTAACAGTCTCTGGAACCCTAAAGAATTCTTCCTAAAAGAAATAAAGAAATAATTTACATTCCAGAAGGAGCAAACAATAGGAAAAAGGAAAAATATGTTTAGAATCAGTGAATTTTGAAATATGAGTTTCAGGTAAACATATATTATTATAAAGATTAAGAATCAGGGAAGAATGTCTGAAATCTCAATTATGATTTCATGCCTGCAGTTATATAACACACTGTACAAAGATCAACCTGTAACTATAGAGTATCACTTAATTATCTAGTTAAGAGGTCAAAAAATGTGTAAAGTATGTAGGATGTGCTTTGAAAACTTACCTACAGTCAAAAAAACTCATTAATATAGAAAAAATTACGAAAAGGGAACATACAAGATATAGTGCAATGTATGCAGTGTGGGGAGGGGCGGGTCCTGTGGATACTGGGGTGCCCCGGTACTCAAACTTAATACACACAAAGGTGCAGTATAGTTCACTTACATCAGTGCAAGAACTGGGGAAAGGCCAGGACTGGGATTTAGAACAGGAAGAGTAAAGGGCAGAGTAATGGGCAATGTGGGAGCAGTCCTTATGCTTGCAAATCTATGGGAATATGACTGTGCTAAGGCAGTTAAAATCCTGAGCTCGGAAAAAGAGAGGAAATCATTTAGCAAGAGGCATAATACTGACTCATTCTATAGGAACTACACTATGGGGATGAGGCAAACAAGGAAGAGATTAAAAATGGAGATAGTGTAGTATTATGGAAAGAATGTATGTTTAATTTACTCCAATGTTTGCTCTAACAATGCTCAAACTGAATATCCCGCAAATTCTATTTCTAGGCATATATTCAACAGAGTCATATATATGTTCCAGAAGACACATACAAGAATGTTCTCAGTAAGACCCAACAGCAAAAACCTGGAAATGACCACCAAGACAAGAATGGATGAATCCACTTTCTACAAACTTATATGGATGCAATAAAACCCTCTCAAGGGTCCCGCAATGGAGGGTGACCATGGGTGCTGGATGATGATCTCTGACTGGGGGTCACATAGGTTGTATGCTGGAAACAAGGTTAGCAGGAGGCTTTTGCCAGTTTCAGCTCTTTGGGGATGTGATTATATTTGGTAGAATATAACTTGTGAACTACATTACATATTTTTCAAAATAGAAATTTATCAATTTTGACACATTAAATTTATTAGTCAAAATGTCCTTGTTATATAAAAATATGAGAGTCTCTTTTGCTGCAATATTCTAATTATTTGAAATCATATTTTTGGTGAACTGCAGGGCTGTATCACACATTAGGCTAGAGAAGTAAATCATGCCAGGAGGGTTGGACTTTATTCTAGGAGCAGGAGATTTCACAAAGCTGAGTAGTATGTTTGGAATTACATGCTAGAAAAAGCACTCTGGCTATGGAGAGAATGGAATAGGATGGAGAGACTGGAGAAAGGATAAAATTAGAGAATTGTTAAAATAATCTAGGCAAAGATGATGATGACCTGTGCTAGAAAGAGTTATTGCAATGGAGAGAAGTGAACAAATTCAAAGAGATATTCAGGATGTTAAAGGATCCTTTTTAAAGGCTAAAATAATGATTGATACACACATAAAATGAACGGGTCAAAGATTTTATTTAATGAATGAAGGAACCAATAAGATGTTACAAGGAAAATTCAAAGAACACACATATATGTCGGCAATAAGGAATGCTGAAATGCTGAATGAATCTGTAATTAGGGGCAAAACTGGTAAATATTAGGGCATTAATAATCAATTGCACTCAACAGATACAACTGACTTGCATTTCTATGGACAAGAATGAGTTGCATTACTAGATGCGTGCTACAATTTTAGAGTTGTAAATATTTCAAAAACAAGGAAAGGCTCACATAAACTGGGAATGGTGCCCTGGGCAAGGATACCCAGTAATCTTTTTGCCCAATTCAAAGTCTGACAATTTTCCTTCACAAGAAAATATCCACAGGATTTCAGTCATTGGCTGAATGTGGTGATGATGAGAAGGGAGGAAAAGAGAGAGAAAAGTCAACTGTGACCATTCATTCAAGGAAGCTGAGGGAGCATTCAGCCAAGATGTTAAGGATGAAACAGGAGGGTACATGGGAAAGTTTTGGAAGGAAGGGACAGTGGGAGATGGGATCAGGAGAGAGGATGCACAGATAAGTAGACCAATCAGACTCCTCAGTTCTCTGAATTCACTGCCCTCTCTCTCACCTCTGGAATTTAGCACTTGCAGTCCTCTTTGCATACAACACACCCTGTATACCTCTTTCCATGCAACTCCTGCTTGTTGTTTAGGGTTCATGTCTGTTATCACTTCCTTTGAGAAGCCTGCCTGGATCCCTCAAGTTGGGGTTAGATGCTTCGCTTATATCCTCCTCTAGCTGCCCGTACTCCTTCCTCCCTTTACCCCCTCCCCCACTAGCACACATCACTGTATTATAATTGCTCTAGAACTATCTCCTCTACTAGTCTGTGCATTCTGTGAGGGCAGGTGCCATGACTAGGTGTTCACCACTATACCCCCGGTGCATAGTGCAGCATCCAGCATGTAGTAGTCATTCAAGAACACATTCTGATAGGTGAGTTCTCTGTATGGTCCCAGGATAACAAGAGAATCTTTCTGATACACATCCTTCTCAAGGACCATGACCCACCCCAACCACTCCACTCTCCTTCCTGTCCTCACTCCCCCTAAAAAAGCACACGTTATACTCAAATAGAATGTACTGCAGTTTGTTTAGGCTTTTGTTTTATAGAGTCAGAGCAAAATGTTCAACTCATCTGCTTTTTAAATTGTGAACAGTTCCATAAAATGGCCATTCCTAGGAGAGAGGAAACAGGGTTTTGTTTTACTTTCCCTATGAGAGGGAAAAGGAAATGGGAGCAGAAAAAACCGTGATAAAGGGAAACAAAGGCGAGAATCATGAGAAGTAGCTACAGTATACATGATGGGTTCTAGCTATTGCCCAGCCATTCTTTTTATTTTTAATCTCCTACTGAATTCTACTTACCCAAGCAATATTAGGAGTTTTAAGATAAATGTTGAAAATACTAACTTTGTCATAAGGCAGAGAAGCAGTACATTATGGGTTTATGTTACTTTCTTTAAAGTCCATAATATTTTACATTCTTTTTCTTTTTTATTAACTGATAGTTCTTTAGGTCCTGTGTGTATGATTTATTCTTAACAGACAAAACCCTGACTTTATTATTCAGCCTTAAAAAGAAAGGATATTGTAACACATGCCACAACATAAAGAACTTTGAAGGCATTATGCTAAGTGAAATAAGCCAGTCACAAAAGGACAAATATTGTATGATTTCACTTAGGTGAGCTATCTAGTCAAATTCAGAGAGACAGAAAGTCAAATGTCAGTTGCCAGGACATTCAGGGGAGGGGGGAATAATTAAAGTTATTCTTTTTTTTTTTTTTAAAGATTTTATTTTTTCCTTTTTCTCCCCAAAGCCCCCCAGTACATAGTTGTATATTCTTTGTTGTGGGTCCTTCTAGTTGTGGCATGTGGGACGCTGCCTCAGTGTGGTTTGATGAGCAGTGCCATGTCCGCGCCCAGGATTCGAACCAACGAAACACTGGGCCGCTTGCAGCGGAGCGCGCGAACTTAACCACTCGGCCACGGGGCCAGCCCCTAAAGTTAGTCTTTAACGGGCACAGCAGTTCAGTGTGGGAACATGAAAAAGTTTCTGGAGAGGGATGGTGGTGATGGCTGCACAACAATATAAATGTACTTAATGCCACTTTAAAATGGTTACGATAGTAAATGTTATGTTACATATATTTTATCACAATAAAAACATAAAGAATGGGAAAAAAAAGAAAAGAAATCATATCTTTGGATCCTTTAATTTTACAGTCCAAGACATACAGGAGACAGCACATGAGAAGTGCTCTTACTACATGTATTAGAGATATACGGTTATCATTATGCATTAATAGAAATTAATATGCACTTATCCAAAAGTAATGAATTCTAACTTCACAAACATCATCAGAAAGCAGTATCTCAAGGGGTATGACTAAATGACCTGGAGCACAGAATGGCTGGGATAGAAAAATGGTGTTGGTAGCAGCATTTAAGTGCAGAAACAATTTTTGGCATTTCCATGGTGATCCACGGCAAAGGTCTACATGCAGACGTGGTCAGCAAAATAAGTATCCAGCAATATCCAGAATAAGAGGACAGCAATGGGATGTGTGTTAACAAGGACCAGTGACTTTTTATGGAATTCAGTTGAAAAGGAGGACAGGGAACAAAACAGACTTCATGGGTTAGCTGAAATAGGTAATTCTAAGAACTTCAAAAATTGTCTGGGAAACGAAAGTCTCAGAAGCAGTAGTAATGAGAGAACCATGGAGTGTAAAAAATTGCCTAAGTTTTCCATCAAATAAACTGAGATATTTAAATATTAAGTTAGTAGACTAAGATGTGCATGATGAATCTAGACAAGGAGAATAAGTATTAGAATAAGTGTTTGTAGCAAAAAAATATAATGTTACATTAAAGTAAAATCCAAAAGTTATTTTTTGAAAACTACATACACTGGGTGAATTACAGTGTATTTTATAGTAAAAAAAAAACTATGGCAAATCAACTGAATTGTATTTCTGTAGCTAAGTAACTTAATTAAAAAAAGTGTTTTTAAGACACCAAAAATTCTCAGTTTAAAAAAATCCAACAGATTTAGTTAAGGAAAGTATGTAAAAAAATGGGATACCAAGACACATGTATGAGACTAGACAAAATCTAGAACACTGACACCACCAAATACTGGCAAGGAAGTAGAGCAGGAAGAACTCTCATTCACTGGTGGTGGGAATGCAAACTGGTACAGCAACATTGGAAGACAGAAGTTTCTTACAAAACTGAACATATTCTAACACCACGATGTAGCAATCATCCTCCTTGGTATTTACCCAAATGAGCTGAAAACTTATTTCCACATAAAACTTGCACATGTTTACAGCAGCTGTATCCATAATTGCCAAAACCTGGAAGCAACCAAGATGTCCTTTAGTAGGTGAGCTGAGAAATAAACTGAGGTTCATCCAGATAATGGAAGTTTTATCCAGCACTCAAAAGAAATAAGCCATGAACAGATATGGAGAAAACGGAAATGAAAATAACTAAGTGACAGAAGAAAATCTGCAAATGCTATATACTGCTCATTCCAACTATATGACATCCTGGAAAAGGCATATGGAGAAGGTAAAGAGATCCCTGGTTGCAGGAGTTAGGAGGGAGGGAAAGATGAACAATCACAGCATGGAGGATTTTCAGGGCAATGATATTAGTCTGCATGATACTATTATGGTAGATATGTGTCACCGTGCATTGGTCCAACCCATACGATGTACAACACCAAGAGTGAACTCTAAGGTAAATGCGGACTTTGGGTGATAATGATGTGTCAGTGTAGGTTCCTGAATGATAACAAATGTAGCACACTGGTGTGGATGTTGATAATGGGGAGGGCCTGCATGTGTGGGGGCAGGAAATACACGGGAAATCTCTGTACCCTTTGCCCAATTTTTCTGTGAAACAAAAACTGCTCAAAAAACTGTCAAAAGAAAAGTGTGTTACTACTAAGCACAGAGTAATATGAAACAGAAGTAAAAAGAATAACTAAGACACATCTTTTCAAAAACTTCTGGAGGTTATACTGGTTTTGAGGGAAGTAACGTTGAGTCATAATCACTTGAGGAAGAAATCTCATAAAAAACCTAAAACAATATTCATTCCATGACCCCACAGCCCCAAATTATAGGTACAAAACAAAGAACACTGAGAGGATCATCAAAAATATGGAACTGATTAAATAAATAGAAAACAAGGTCAGTTATAGCAAAGAAATTTGCCAGATGAAACAATCGGTGGCTTAAACAAATTACAGTAGACTTAAAAAATATAGGCATCATTCAACTTTATAAACTTCCTTAATGTGTCAAAATCCTATTTGTTGAAGGTGAATGAACAAGAGCACACACATGGGAGAAACAATGTGGAATAAACAGCAATTTAGTCAACATTCTCATAGAAATTAGGTTGTGAACTTTAACAGTGTTCTTCATAGGTTAAGTTCCTAGACTTTTCATTTATTGCCGGCTCAAAGGAGATGATCACATTATGTCTGATCAATATTGTCATACTGCCCTTTGGAGACACTGTTAAACTCCTCAAAAAACAGGACAACTGAAAACATTTATTAGTCAGGCTCTCCTAATACTTTCTACCTCAGTATCCTGGGACATGCTGACCACTACCCGGTGGCTTCAAGAGGCACTTCTGTATGTCAGAGGATGCATGTGTAACATATTAATCAGTGTTCTCCCACAACTTTCTGTTAGCCAGTAAACACCCTCCATGGGAGAGTCCACCAGAAGTTGTCCATCACCTGAAGATGAGTTATCTCAACAGAAAAAGACAATGACACTTCAGACCCTTGGAATGTGTACTTCAAAAGCAAGTTTCAGAGGTAAAATCTTAGGACAATAATAAATCAGGAAGACCAAGGTCTTTCTTATGTTCCCTGACAGGGAGAAGAGTAGGAGGGAGAAAAATATAAGATATGGGACTAAAATAAGAGAGTCAGAATTTGTGGGGCTCTTGAGAAGGGGCAGTGTGCTGTGCCTACAGGCTGTGGGGTGAGCTCCTGAAAGACTGAGATATACTCCGATGAAGCAATGGGGACCAGAGAGAGGATCCAAGTGTCTAGTCTTTATATTACTGCTCAGTCAGAGTGTCAAACAATCTCAAATCTTAAAATCTTTTTAAGAATCTCAAATTCCATTCCTCTTCTCAAACATGTGACAAAAAGAGAAATGAAGAGATGGCTAGGGGGCCTGAACAGGCAGATAGGGCTTGACACAGCCCAGGGAGTTTCATGGAAACTCAGATACGATGGAAAAGAAGCTATTTTGTTTGTCTATCTCCTGAGAAGTCCTCCCAAGGATGTGAAATGTGAATGGAAACTGAACAGGTCATGGGCTCAGGACTACCGAGGCCTCAGCTCTGATCTGTATGGACTGAGAACCAAGAGAGATCAAGAGGAAAGAAGACTCTTTAGAGACACTCATCTTGGTTTCCCTCCAAGGGAGGGACCAAAGTAGTCGGGGGGCCAGATAATAGTGTGTCGTATGGCATGATAAAGTCTTTGCCTGCCTCTGCTAGAGCTGGAGCATCATGGTATGGTGCGAGTTTAAAACTTTACACATTTGCGTAACAGAGTGGTAAGTGTCTGTGTGGGAGGAAATTCCTTTTGAGAACTCATAAGAAATAAACTTTATTTTCCCAAAGATCTTTCCAAATTGAGAAGAGTTTCCCAAACAATATTTAATGGGGCAGCTTACTCTGAACCAATCTATCTGAGCTCTTACTTGTGCTCACATCTCCATACATTCCCATCTGTCTGTATTTTTTCCTATTTTCCCTTCACTCTGAGGTCCAGCACTGTTTCCCTTGCTCCAAAATAGATGTAACATTCTACTGAAGAGAGGTTTCAACTTACAAAGAAAAACGGAACAGGATATGCTATGCTTTTCCAGAACACATTCCCAGCTCTTTGTTCAGCTAAGAAGAGAGGACATTATAGATGGGTCTAGAAGAGTATTTCAACAATCAGTCAACTGACTGCCTCCTTCTGAACGCTAAGGGGTTATTTCCAGCACGCAGGTATCTAGCTCTCTCCAAGAACTACTGGATGAAATGCACAAGGGTAAAAACACAGAATCAGATATTTTTAAAATTTTCCAGAAGGTTCTCTGACTACTAATGTTCTGAAACCGCCACTAATCAAAGCACAAAACAGGTAGAACTTTTGAAGAAAGGGGAATTTAGAGTCCATATGCCACATTATGAAGGCTTTCCATCCTGAATGAAAACAGCTTCAATCACTCTCTTAAGAACAGGGATTTTGAAACTCAGACAAGCAAGTCCGGGGCTCCCAGGAGACTCACAAGGGAAAACGCAAGGATGTACAACAGTAGTTACCAATTTCTGGAGGGCAGCTCTCCTCACCCAGGGAGAGCAGGTTCCTGTAGTTCTCCAGCATCACGTCCCTGTACAAGGCCCTCTGAGCGGGGTCCAGGCTTTCCCACTCCTCCTGAGAGAATTCGATGGCCACGTCCCTGAACGTCAACTGTCCCTGAAAGGAAAGCACATTTCACCACTTGGACAGGGAGAGGGCTCTTATCGTGACACAAAATGAGAGAAGCAGACATGTGTAAGGTCTGACTTGGCTGCAGTGAGTGCTCTCACAGATCCATGTAAGATAAATTTTTTTTTTTTTTTTAGGAAGACTAGCCCTGAGCTAACATCTGCTGCCCATCCTCCTCTTTTTGCTGAGGAAGACTGGCCCTGAGCTAACATCCGTGCCCATCTTCCTCTACTTTATATGTGGGACGCCTGCCACAGCATGGCTTGCCAAGCAGTACCATGTCGGCACCCAGGATCCAAACCAGTCAACCCCGGGCTGCAGAAGCAGAAGTGTGCACTTAACCGCTGCGCCACTGGGCCAGCCCCATGTAAGATAATTTTGAACAAGTTTATTTCTCTGATTTTTTTTTAAGTGAGGTGAAATTCACATAATATAAAGTTGGCAATTTTAGACTACACATTCAGTGGCATTTAGTACATTCACAATGTTGTAGAAACATCACCTCTACGTAGGTCAAAAACATCTTTATCATCGCAAAGGAAATCCATTACCCATTAAGCAGTTGGTCCCATTTCCCTCTCCCCAGTCCCTGGTAATCACTAATGTGCTTTCTGTCTCTATGGATTTACCTATTCTAGATATTTTCATATCAATGGAACGGCATGCAATGTGTGATCTTTTGTGTCTGGCTTCTTTCACTTAGAATACTACTTGTGGTTCATCCACGGTGTAGTATGTAACAGGACTACACTCCTTTTTGTGGTTGAATAATTTCATTCTATGACTATACCACATTTTATTCATTCACGCATCCTTTTGTTGACATTTGAGCTGTCACCACCTCTTGGCTAATGTTGACAGTATTGCTTTGAACATGTGTTTGCATATCTGTTTTCAGTTTTTTTGAGTATATACCTAGCAGAGGAATTACTGGGTTATGTGGCTTATTTTTATAAGGATCTCCACACTGTATTCCACAGTAGTGACATTTTCCAGCAAGGTATCAGGATTCTAATATCTACACATCCTCACCAACACTAGTTATTTTCTGTTTTCTTATACTCATCTTAGTGGGTGTGAAACTATATTTTATTGTGGCTTTGATTTTGCATTTTCCTGACGACTAATTTCATTGAACATCTTTTCATGTGCTTATTGGCCATTGTCCATCTTCTATAGAGAAACATCTATTAAAATCCTTTGGTCATTTTTTAATTGAGTTCTTTGTATTTTGGTTGTTGAGTTGTAGAGTTCTTCATATACTCTGGACACTAGATCCTGACCAGATATGTGATTCGCATTTTCTCCCATTTGATAGATTGGGTTCTCACTTAGGTGACAGCATCCTTCAGTGCACCAACATTTTCTATTTTAATGGAGACAAATTTACCTATTTTGTTTTCTCTCCTTCCTCTTGGGATCATATCTAAAAATGCGCTGCCAAATCCAAGGTCAGGAAGATTTGCCTCCATCGATTCATCTAATGGTTTTTTAGTTTTAGGTCTTACATTTAGTCTTTGGTTCATTTTGAATTATTTTTTTATATGGGGAAAGACAGAGGTTCAATTTCATTCTTTTTCCTGTGGATATGCAGTGGTCCCAGCACCATTTAAGAGACTGGTCTCCCAGTGAAAGTTTTGGCAGTCTTGTGAAAAAGCAATTGACTACAGATGTATGGGATTATGTGTGGACTCTCAGTTCTATCGCTTTGATTTCTATTTCTATCCTCATGCAGGAACCACAGTTTTGATTACTCTAGGTGTGTAGTAAGGTTTGACAGTGGGAATTACAAGTCCTCCAACTTTGTTCTTTTTCACCATTATTTTGGTTATTTGGGATCCTTACCAATTCAATATAAAGTTTAAAACTGGGTTTCCTATTTGTGCAAAAACGGCTGTTGGGATTCTAATGGGGATTGCACTGAATCTTAGTAGTACTTTGGGGAGTACTGTGACCTGAACAACACTAAGTCAACATTTTAGGTAGGACCCTTCAGAGACAGAGAAGATTACAAACTAAAATGAGGCATTTTAGGAAGGAGAAAACAGAACAATCCATTAAGAATACAACTTTTACCTTGGAAAGAGCCATTCCTTCTTTCCTTCCTCTTCCTCTGGGATTCTCAGCTTAGATTATTCTGTATGACAAAAACATGTTCAATGCTTAGAATCAACACACCCCCTTCCTCTGCCACAAGTACACAAACAGGGAGAACCTTAACACAGCGGAAAGAGGGCCCTTTGCTGCCCACTGCAACAGGAGGGATGCAGGGACAGTAAACTCCATATAGGGACCAAGAAGTGAGTTTTCACCCATTTCTTCAGAAAGCCCTCCCCTCCTGCTGAAACCCACACACTCTGCTGCAACTGCACTGTCCTTGTCCAGTTGGCACAAAGTGGCCGGAAACTGCCTTTCCAAAATCTTGGCTCTTCCATAGGCAGCCAGCATCCAATGCCTGGATGATGCAGGGGACAGAAGCCTGTCCCTTCCCTCAATTTGGACCAACTCTAAGGGCCACCCAGCTCCAGAGCTCCCTGCTATAGATAAACTGAGGAGTTGAGATGTTTGTCCTGAGGACCAGGAGGAACCATAACAGGGCTTAATGCCAGGAGATGACACAATCAAACTTAAAATTTACCCATGAAACACAGGGAGGCAGAGTGAAGCTGAAAGAGAGGCATGCCTCTGTCTCTGAGCCTCTGTCCCTGCCTTTTTCTTAGTGGTTTTCATTCTTTTTGGAGGACTGGGTCACATTCCAAATTCTAATTCTAACTGGCACCCTCTCCCAGAAAACTACCAAATGTAGACACATGCCCACTTTTGAACATCATTCCAGGGCTCCCATTTGCTCAGACTCAGAATTCCTGGTCTGCTCTATCATCTCCATGTTACAGGTGGGTGCACCGAGGCTCAAAGGGGGAGTAAGTTTACCAAGTTACCCTGCAGAGGGCTGAGTTCAGTGAGCAGACCTGGGTGTAAGTGGTGGCCTGGAGAGGGCAGTAGAAAGGGTCTGCTCTAATTCCAGATTCCTTTACATATTCCTGAGCAAGAGAAGCTTCTCTTTCATGGCTTTAACCAAACCCAAGCATTTACTTCCTGTTTTCCAGAAAAATATTTACAAAATGAACTTACAAACAGTTATTAGTCTTGGAAAACAGGAAAGAGAGTCACCTGGAGCTGAGCTCTGAGCAATCTGTTCACCATGAACAGACGGGCTCTGTTGGAACAAAGTTTTACATTCATCCAGCCCATCCTTCAGCGTCTGCACAGAAAGACACAGAGAACTTGAGAGGAACATCTACTTAGTTGAAGACTTCAGCTCAGAGGTCACTAATTTAACAGATCACTTCAGGGAAGAAAGAATCTCTTGACTATAAAACTAACTGGTTAAACAAGGTTTACAGTGTTAAAAGATTATCAACATCCTTACCAGATGCATAGTGAAATACTGTGGGTATTTACAGATATCAAAGAATAGTTCCAATATAATAGAGTAGAATGCATACAAACATCATCATCTGAACGATAAAATTAAGAGGGATAACATTTTGGAAATTAAAAATATTAAAGTTAAAACAAGTGTGAGGACACATCACATTTAGAAAAGGATGAGATGAGCCACAGGTGACAGAAAGTCCTCCCCCATTTCTTGAAAGGGAAGAGGGTGACCTGGAATTGGCTGAGCTAAGTCTCTGCCCTCAGGGTGCACAGGGGCTGCAAATGGAATTGTCTTCTGGTGCAATAAGTAGAAAGTGCAGATGTCGCAAACACCTGGTTTTGTAACTCTCACTCTCTTCTGCATGGTTTAAACCGTTCAACAAATCTGAAATTAATTAGGTTACACAGCCACAAATCAGTTCTACTTCACAACCTAATATCCCATATCCAATCAACTCAATATTTCTTGGGTTTGGGTCCCTGACTTTCTTCACCACTGTGTTTTGTTCTCTGTATTTGTCTCTTTCCTTCCGGTTCTCTCCTCTGCTTTGTCCATTTCCGCGTTTCTCCCTGTTTCTCCGCATCCTTTTGTTTCCCTCCCTCTCTATTCCTCCTCCTCCTCCTAGAGTGTTGGCACCCCTCTGCTGCAACCTCTGTTTCAACGCCTGGTATTCTTTCTCCCTAAACTTTCTGGTGACCCTCTAACTCCATATATTTCTGCCTCTTTCTCCCCATCCCTGTCCCCCTCTGCTCTCCCTGGAGGGGACGAAGGGCTTGTACCCACCTCCTGAGCGAGGCCTTTATCACGCGGTTGGGCGGGGAGTCGGGCGTCAGACAAAGGATTTGAGCAGGAAAACGACGCGGCAGCCGGTCGGTGTCTCCGTGGAACGAAGAAAGAAAGGTCGGGCGGCACCTGCCTCGGAGCGATTTTAACCGGAAACGGACGCGACTCCCGGACCCGCGCGGAGCCACAGGACTCGGCGCGTCATATGGAGACGCCGCGAGAGGCGAGAGGGGCGAACTCACAGCCAGAGGGACGAGCGGGTTCAGAGAGCTTAACTTAGGCAGCGACCCCCGAACCAGGGTTTGGAGGATGGGGGCTTGACGATCGCTAAACGCAGGTATGAAACAGAAAAACAGACTCACTGACCCGAGCGTGCCGGTTGCTCCGCACGATCCGCTTCCGGGCCTGCAGGAAACTGCGCGCGCGCGTGCGCAGTGGGGCGGGGCCGAAGGGGCGGGCCCGGCGGGGCGAGGTCAGGCCATCCTTTTAGTCCCGCGATGTGCCGGACCTGTTTGTCCTCCAGGCCAACAACCTCTGGTTTTCTGCTTTTGGGTTCCTTTGAATCTGTCTGGTGTCCTTTGGAGCCAGGCTACCTGCAGAATTAGACATGTAGGGGGCACTTATCCTGGAAGCGGAGGTTTTTTTCTTTGAGCAAATTGAAAACAGTTTCCCTGGAAGCTTGATAGAGACGCGTGTCCTAAGAGTGAGGCGGCGGGAGCGCTGGCACCTGGAGGTGGGGACGGGGGTTGCAGGCGGTGGTTGATCCTGGAAAGTCTGAGACCCAGGACAGTTACCACAATTTATTTAATTAAGTGGGAGCAGGAGTGCACGTTTCTCCCCAACCAGATCCTTCCGTCCATTTAACCAAGAAGTATTTTAAATATGCTCCCCTTCACCCCAAACTAGCATATATTTCAGCTGATTACCTTTCCTCTCAGGATTTGAGGTAAAGACACAAAACTTTATCTCCTGTGTCCTGCATGTGTGATATATATTCTTTATCTCCACCTCCATCCAGGACCACTTGCTACAGAGCCGTTATTTTTCCTTCTCATGTTCACTGATCATCACACAGGCTTTTCCATTTACTAAATTCTTCTCACACTTCTCTGCCCAGTTGATTCCAGAGAAATTTTAATTAATCAAGTTCGAAGTTACATGATCATGTAAGTGTCTAGTAACTCCAAGGTGCTAGACATCCCAATTTTAAATGAATTCTTAGACTCTAAACTTCTCCTTTGCAACATTGAATATAATGGAAATTTTATTACATTCTACATAGTATTTAGTTTAGTACCTACTGTGCCTACTACGTTGTGAATTCTGTGAACGCAGACTCAGTCTGTTTTTCACAGCCTCTCTGTTATGTGACTGCTCATCCTAGCGCTTAAATCTCTGTCAGGAATGAGTGAGGAAATGACTGCACGTTGTTTAAAGAAACAAAAATTTACATCTGTCTTATTATCGTTTCAGGGAGTTGTGTATTCCATACACAACAAGTTTGCATCAAAAATCAATGAGGAAATTTTTCAACCCCAAACACGTCATTATCGGAGGGACGCCTTTAGAGGCAACGAGTAGGAAGTTGACTACAGTCAGGTGCTTGAGAATCAGCCTTAGGAAGGAATTCAACCCTATTTTAATTATTTTTACCATGAAGATTTCTGTCTCTCTTGTTTTTTTACTTACTATGATGCTATAGGACAATAAATAAGACGATTTTATTGTCATTTTGATAGGGAATTTCCGTTTCCCAAAGATCAAGTATTAATGTTATCTCCGCTGTAGTTTTTGCTGCTTATTAACTTTTCTTATGAGCTTTGGCATATTTCCGAATTTTTACCTTCACTCATCCATCAGTATATTCGTGAATAAACATCTCTCGTGGGGACAGCCACACTCATTTTGTGTCTTTTTAAGAGTTTTTGGGCCAGCCCCGTGGCCGAGTGATTAAGTTCCCTCGCTCTGCTTCGGCAGCCCAGCCTTTCCCAGGCTCAGATCCTGGGTGCAGACATGGCACTGCTCATTAGGCCACGTTGAGGCAGCATCCCACATGCCACAACTAGAAGGACCCACAACTAAAATATATAACTATGTACTTGGGGGATTTGGGGAGAAAAAGCAGGAAAAAAAAAGAAGATTGGCAATAGTTGTTAGCTCAGGTGCCAATCTTTTAAGAAAAAGAGAAGAAGATTGGCAACAGTTGTTAGTTCAGGTGCCAATCTTAAAAAAAACAAATAAGAGTTTTTGTAGCTATTATTTGTTCATTATTGTATAAGATTTTTGCAATAACATTGCTAGTTCCTAAAACTAACTGGTGGTGTCCGTATCAGGATCAAATTAAATTTACAAATTAGCTTAAGGAGAATTGACTTTTTAAAATAATATTGAGTTTTTCTACCCAAAACATGATGGGAATTTCCATTTATTTATAGCTACTTTCATATATTTCAGGAATGTTTTATAATTTTCCTCACATAGGATTTACATATTTTGGTTAGATTTATTCCTGGTTAGTTTATGTCACTATATTTTATGCTTTTGTAATTGCAACCCCTCCCACTGTAACTTGTAAATGATTGTTTTTATATATGTAAATTGTTTATATATGTAAATTGTTTTTATGTATGTAAATGATTGTTATTTATATATATGAAAGCTATTGTTTTTGTAAATGAATATTATGTTCTATGAGCTTAATGAATTTTTTTGTAGTAGATTTTCTGTCAATTCATTTGTGTTTCCAGGTGTATAAGTGTATCATCTACAAACATAGTTTTACTTCTTTGTTTCCAATTCTCATGCCGTTTTCAGTTGCTCTGGCTAAACCTCCAACACAATGATAACTGAATACAACAGGAGATCATATGCTTTCTTGGTGTGGTTTTCTGACCTTAGTGGAATGTCTCTAGTGTTCCCCATGAGCAAGATGAAGGCTTTGTTTTTCAAGTTAGGAAAGATGCATCAATTCCTAATTTTGAGTGTTTTAATTTAACATCCATACATATTGAATTCTTCCAAATAGATGTTTTTTTAACTATGAATAGGATCCCCTCATTTCTCCTTATAAATATGGTGAACTATATTAATGGATTTCCAAGTTTTGACTTATTCTTGATTTTCAGATATGGAGTTTACTTGGTCATTATATATTACTTTTGTATTCTAGTATTTTTCAGTTTTTTGCTGTATTTTTATTTTAGATTTTGCCATCTGTAGGCAGATGTGAGATCTTTCTGTAGTATTCTGTTTTGGTACAACTTTTGGGACATTTTAGTATCAGTATTTTGGTTCCTGTAAATCATTTGGAAAATTTACTTTTAATGCTCTTAAATTGAGTAAATAACATTGGCTTATGTGCTATTTAAAAGAGTGGAAGAATCTGCCTGCTAATCTGTTCGTGGTGCTTTTATTTGTGAGGGACTCTTATAAATGCCTCCCTTTCCTCTATGGATATTGGTCTCTTTAGTGTTGCTATCTCTGCTGAAGTCAATGTTGGTAAAATATATTTTTTTCAGTTCTTTGTGGGAATGAGGTCACAGAATCACTACCCCGCATCTCAGGATCTGGCTTCCTCCCTCGCACACACTTGGCCTGTTATGATCCTTACACTGAGCTCTCAGTCCTGGCAGCAGGAAGAAGTCCGTGAGTATTTTCTATTTCAGTCTGAGAGAAGTGGGAAGGTTAGGAGCAGTATCAGGAATCTAGGTAGGTGTGCGTGTCTGGAAATGCGATCCAGTGGCAAAACTGTACAGGAAGGAGGAATACTTCCTGAGGCATGGGGCGAGCATGTGGAGAGAGACGGGAGGTCTGAGACTCTAAAACAACCCATGGCTGCTGCTGCTAATGTGATTAATAAAATCTTCGTTTATGGGGTTTGTGGTGTTTGATCCAAGTGCTATCAAAGTCTGAATTTTAAGATGCTTCAAGATTATAATTTCAGAGTTAATCTACTACTCAATACGGTGTGCAAAAGCCACAGAGACATCTTCAGGATCAGGGTCATGATGTCTGTAAAAGCTGTGTACATGTGATAATGAGTATCATGGAACTAATGGAATGATCTAATTCTCAATAGAAACAGTGTGACTGAATGGCAATTGCTGAAATATAATTATTTTTCTGTCATTCGGGTGTGATGTGCTTAATGGAGACAGTAAATGTTTCTCTACTGGGAATATCTGTGGTCTGCTGATCATGGAAAGCCTATTTTCCTTCGTGAAATTAGGCTGGGAATATCTGTGGTCTGCTGATCATGGAGAGACTATTTTCCTTCGTGAAATTAGGGAAGGTCCTTTAAAAAATGTTAACGTCACAATAGAGGATTTCAGAATGCAAAACATTTTTTAAAAATTAATTTAAAATATAATTTCATCAGAAAAAAATTCCATGCCTTCAAATTCCAGTTTGCTTATTGCTATTGTCTTTTAATAGCTTTCCCGAATCAAATATTAATTCAAGTTCCAGTTAGTTTTTTCTAAAATACTAAATATATATTATCTTTAAATAAGATTAACTTATTTTCTGCCCTAAAGTGCTTATTGCATGTATGTTTTGTGTCCCCCATTTTAGTGCGCAGTCCAATTTTGTATAATAATTTCTGTAATGAGTGCCATTGTATTTTTGGTCCAGGTGGAAAATGGACGGAGTTTTTCTGTTGCCGTCCTAACATTTATCCACATTAAATAAATCAAATTGGGTCATGTATAATTATTTAGTGCATCTATAATTTATTAAGACCTCTGAATCTTCACCCCTAAGTTATGTTAGTCTAAAGAACAAATATTTAGACAAAAATGGGACATTATCAAACCAAGTTTATAAAGTAATATAAATTTAAAATATGACAAGATATATATATGTGTTTAGAGCAGAACTAGGTAACTGTAATAATACAGTACAGTAGTAAACACGCCTGTCATTGCAACCAGCCTACCCAGTGCTATTTAGATGAGTCACTTTAGCTCTCTTTGGTTAAAGTCTCCTAGTCTGTAAAAGGAGAGTAATATTAGTTCCTAACTCACAGAGTTGTGAATGTGAAATAAGTTGGAATAAGTAAAACATTAACAAAAGTGACCAAACAGCATAAGTGCTATCAAAGGAAATATGGGAAATTTCTTAACAAAAGAAAATATACTTTATATATTAATTCAAAGAGGGCAGGAGATTTTATTTTCCATGAAAATGTAGCCCAGAACTCTTGTTTCCATTCAGAACCCTCTGCTTGTGGATTTGAATATTGAGCCTTAGAAAATGACAGAATGGTCTCTATGGACTGGAAAATAGGAACCATCTTCCTACTCCAGGTAGTCGTTGGAATCCTG